CGGCTATGGTTGGAAAACATCAAGTTTTGGCTTTAGATACTGGCTTTTGTTGCCACACCTATCACTGGAAATGCGGCCAGTGTCTTTTGTTGTTTGTTGGTCTTGAACAGCGGTCTGCTGCTTGACAACCATCTTGCCTAGGTTTCACGCCATCCACCATCCCCTCCTCCTCCCAATGACAAAGGTCAGCTCATATACATGTAATCTAAACTACGTCATTGTAGAAAGTTAGAATACCATCATTATCTGACAAACATACAAACTAACAGCAGTAAAGTAGAAACAAAAGAAAGTACAGAAGGCAAATGAAGAGGTAAAAGTGAACTGAAATAGATCTTGTTTTAGGCTGTTGCTCAAAACATCCCGCTGGTTCTGGCCTCCCTAATATCCATGAAAATGTGATCCACAGTTTGGGGCCATGGCAAAAAAAAAAAAAGAGTTGCAAACCTAATTTTCTTATTACCGTGGTTCTGAAGCTCTAATAAAGCCCACAGTGGGGGATCTGAGGAAACACGAGGGCTCGTAAAACAGCAAGGAGTCTTAAAATATGAGGATTTCCTCCTCGTGATGTATGTTTGAAACTAATTCTAACTTTAAAAACCCATTTATTCCCATTATTTCCTCCCTCACTGTGAACGGTATAAGAGAAATACTTAATACTTTACTAAATAAGCAGTTAAACAGAACCATGAACGCTCAAAAGAAGGTTTCCAGCTTTACAAACTGTCATTGTCCCCGGCTCCTGGTGCCTGTCTGAGGGGGTCACGGGGGTCGAGTCACAGGATTGGAGGGTGCCGAGTGCTATGCCTGCTGGGTAGTAAAGTAGAGCAGAGAGGGGAGCAGGGGTGGGAGGTGGGGGTCGAGGTTGTTTGGGATGCAGGGGTTAACAGAGGTGAGAAGGTAATTGAGATCAGGCAATGTGAGGAGTGATGGGTTTCATTTGTGTGAGGGGAAACGCTGGAATCCGAAATAATTGATTCGGTGAGAAGTGTGGTGGGAACAGCATCAGTGCAAACAACACAGAGCATGATCAGTGACATAGTACATGGTGTATTGTGTGTGTGTGTGTGTGTGTGTGTGTTGAGGAGGGGTGTGTTAAGTGTTGTTTATTGAATGCTGCTTAACTGGCCTGGTGGAGCTGCAGGGGTGTGAAGGGCTCCCCCCTCAAATCCACCGCCGCCACAACCATAAATCTTGTATTTCCTGTTCTGTTTTTGTAGCGTATCCAGATGTAAAAAAATGCGTCATAATGTTGAGACCCAGCCAAAGAGTTTACACACTCATATCGCAAAGAAATAGTGACAGTGCATGAAGCTAATGCCATAGATCGGGGCTACTTTGAGATACAGTGTCTCAGTTTTTGGGTCACTTTTTAGCTAAAATACGGCTAATAAAACTTTCTAGTCTTTAGAGCAGCTAATTACGCATTTATAATTTTAGAAATGTAGGTGTGACTTTGACTTTTGACTAAACTCTCTTGTGGTGGAGCTCAGGGCTGCTCTCTCCAGCACCATCCAGTTTCCTTTGCGTCTACGTATGTCGACCGACTCCAACTGTTTCTGGCTCGTCTTCTCTTTCCTTTTGGTTTCCTTGTTAGGCCAGTCTGGTTTCATTGGTTTTTGGGCTTCTGTAGGGTGTGTCTGATCCAACCTCACTTCCTGTTCCTAATCTGTGTATCTGTGCCCTGTTGGTTTGTTTCTTCTTCTGCACCATCAGAAAAGTTCTGATGGTGTCTGTCCAGTCCAGTGTATCTTTAAGATGGTTGTTAGGCACGTGTTGTCAAAGGTCTGAACTGTGCTAATGGAGGTTTTTGTTCATGTTTCTGAAACATAGTATGGAAGGCAATTTCTGCCAGTGTGATGAAAGTATAGAAGTATAAAAGTAGTGTAAAAAGAGCATCATTAGTCAGATAATGAGGAACTTTCTCACAATAATGAGTTATCTATCTAAAATAGTGACTTGGTATCGCAAAATAAAAAGAAACTGTCTAAAGAAACAATTACTTATCTCAAAATAATGAGAAATAATTCTCACTCATTGTTTTTGATAGTTTTTAATTATTTTAAGAAAGTTTTTGTCATTTTTTAGAAAGGTTTTCATTATTTTAGGGATTTTTTTTCATTATTTTGCAAAAGATTTTCATTATATGAGATACAAACTCATTACTTTGAGTAAGTTTTTCATTATTTTGACATACTAACTCATTATTTTTAGATACCAGCACAGTATTTTGAGAGTTTTTTTCATTATTTTAAGAAAGGTTTTCATTATTTTAGGGAAAGATTTCATCATTTTGAGATACTAACTCATTATTTTAAAAATGTTTTTCAGTTTTTTTGAGATACTGATCATTACTTTGAGAAAGTTTTTCATAATTCTGAGAGAGTTTTTCAACATTTTTGGAAAGGTTTTCATTATTTTAAGAAAGATTTCATTATTTTAAGAAAGGTTTCATTATTTTGAGATACTAACTCATTATTTTAGGCAAAGTTTTTCATTATTTTAAGAAAGGTTTTCATTATTTTAAGAAAGATTTCATTATTTTGAGATGCTAACTCATTATTTTAAAAATGTTTTTCATATTTTTGAGATACTAATCATTACTTTGAGAAAGTTTTTCATAATTCTGAGAGAGTTTTTCAATATTTTTGGAAAGGTTTTCATTATTCTAAGAAAGGTTTCATTATTTTAAGGAAAGTTTTGCATTATTTTGAGAAAGATTTCATTATTTTGAGATACTAACTCATTATTTTAAAAATGTTTTTCATTTTTTTGAGATACTAATCATTATTTTGAGGAAGTTTTTCATAATTCTGAGAGAGTTTTTCAATATTTTCGGAAAAGTTTTCATTATTTTAAGAAAGATTTCATTATTTTAAGAAAGGTTTTCATTATTTTAAGGAAGGTTTTCAATAATTTGAGAAAGATTTCATTATTTTAAAAATGTTTTTTTCTTTTTTTTTGAGATACTAATCATTACTTTAAGAAAGTTTTTCCTAATTCTGAGAAACTTTTTCATAATTTTGACAGAGTTCATTATTTTTGAGATACTAACTCATTATTTTGAGTAAGTAGTTTATTATTTTGAGAAAGTTTCTTGCAAGAATAACTTAAAGGATCTTTCCATTTCATCACACTGGCATACCATACCATAGAGCAGCACTGATTTAACACTGGTGTTGAATACTCAGAGTTTGGCGTTTGGATGTATTTTCCTCAGAGGGGCATCAGTGTAATAAAAGCTGTTCTGGTTTTCCAAATTTGGGCTTTAATATCTACATCTGTCCCTTCGTCTTTGCCCACAACACTTTTGAGGTAGGTGAAGGTGTAAAAACCTTCATATTTTAGCCGGTGGTCCTATCATATTCAAATGACAGAAATTTGGAGCTCAGCTTCATGAGAAAAATAATAATTAGCAGATGTACCTGTGACCTCTGTTATAGAATGATTACACTGCAGACTGCTGACTTTATAGCTAAACTAATAGTATGTCATCTTATAGTTATACTCTTTATAATGACTGCTTTGTAGCCAGGAGCTGTGTGGGAAACTGGATTTACAATAGAGCCACATTTCCTCTGGTTAGTAGTAGCCCTTCTATTCTCAGTCAGCTGTTTGTTTTAGTTTGGTGGAGCAGTACAGACAGCCATGTCGGAGGACAGCGCACATGTATGGAACAAAAAAAAAACGTTCTTTGTTTTTCTTAGCTTTGCGTTTTTCCCTTCGGCTATCTATTTAACCACACATTTTTACAGGAGGGGGTTTGCATCGGCGCACAATGGTGACACTGAACCGCAGACTTTTACATTGTTGCTATGTAAAGCTAATTTTGGAGCGCCGTCCCTCAGGAGGTGTAGCAGTGCTTGTAGAAGTGCACAGTTGGCACGTGTGTATCTATGTGGATGTGGTGTCTCGCCTTTCAGCCATTTTTTCCCCGTTCCTATTAAATTTTTTCAGCAGTAGACTTAAAGAATTGTGACACAAAGCTCCAGAGGTCATTAACTAAACCTTTTTAAACTTAAATCTTAGAATATCTGTTTGCTAGATTGGGATCTGGGCAGTTTATTGAACATTTATTCTGTATTACTCAGAGTGGTTACACATATTGACCACTAGATGGCAGCAGCATCGCAGCAAATACAGCTTTACATCTCAACATGCAAGTCTCACACTGTGTGAAACCTGTGGTGGAAGTTACCTAAGCACATTTACTATTCACATTAAACACCGTACTTAAGTACAATTTTAAGGTACTTTTGTATTTAAATTTAATGCACCTTTATACTTTAACTGCACTTCATATCAGACTGCATTTGTCCAACAGCTTTGGTTACTTTTTAGATTACAGTTTTTCATCCCCTTCCTGTCCAGTGAAAACCATGTATCTCCAAGTGGTTGTGTTTTTGACAAACTGAAGGATGAAGGGGTTCCAATTTCTTAGGCTAAATAAACTCTTTAAAATGTACATGAGCTGGACTGTAACACAAAATTAAATGTATGTGGTTCTCACAGGACAGTCACACTGCTAACATATGCTGAACATTTATTATTTGTGAATGTATATTTATTATTTTTTAGAATATGATGCACTGCTGTAGATGAAACTGCCCAACAGCATCTTAAGGAGTTAAAACTGATGCAACGATAAACATCTACTGCAGAAAAATCCAGCATACACATTAATGCAGCAGTACATCATCATCATATTTAACAGGGAACATTTTATTGCACAATGAATACTTTTTCATTCCATACTTAAAGTAAATTTTACTGATAATGCTTACATACTTTTACTGAAGTAAGGATTTAAATGAAGGACTTTTATGTTTTCACAGTCTGATATTAGTACTTTTCTTCTTTCGCCACTGTGCAAGGCAGGGGTCTGAAACTACCAGCCTAGATCCAGTCTTTTTTTATTCTTCTCTCTGTATAGATGAAATCAAGTATAAGATTTAAGCTACATCTGTTTAATATCCTGTGTTTTTCTCTCACTCCACTAGGCGGCCTATAACCTCGCAAACGTGGCCTGTAAGTGTCACGGCGTCTCCGGTTCCTGCAGTCTGAAGACCTGTTGGCTCCAGCTGGCTGACTTCAGACGTGTCGGAGAGTTCCTGAAGGAGAAGTACGACAGTGCAGCCGCCATGCGCATTGGACGCAAGGTACTGAGCTCACAGCAGATGCGTCTCACCTTCTAGAGTGTCGTGAACAAAAGATTTACCCAGTAAAAGCATCCTGAATCTTATACCAGCTGATTCTTTCCACTCCTACAGGGCAAACTGGAGCTGGTAGACAAGCGCTTCAACACCCCGACCCCGGAGGATCTGGTCTACATCGATGCCAGCCCTGACTACTGTCTGCGCAACGAGACCACGGGCTCGCTGGGCACGCAGGGCCGCCTCTGCAACAAAACCTCGGAGGGCATGGACGGCTGCGAGCTCATGTGCTGCGGCAGAGGGTACGACCAGTTCAAGACCTACAAGCACGAGCGCTGCCACTGCAAGTTCCACTGGTGCTGCTACGTCAAGTGCAAGCGCTGCACGACGCTCGTGGACCAGTTTGTGTGTAAATAGCACACTGGCGGACGATAGACGGATGGGTGGGGGTGAAGAGGAAGAGGAGGTGACGGGATGATGGAGGGTTAAGCATGGATGAATGTTTCAGGGTTTTGTTCAGGATCAAGTTAAGACACACAAGTAACATTTTCTGACCAGTTTCCATTGATAACTCTCCGGCCTTTTGACGTGAAGAAAGCACAATGATGGATACACAGATGGGAGGAAGAACAGATGGATGAGATAGATGAAACCAGAAAGTAAGAAGAGGTTTCTTCCACACTTTTCAGACAACTCTGATTTTCATTTTTCAACGGAGATTCCTGTTTCTCACCACTCCTTACATCCTGATCACAACCCTGAAGGAAGGACGGATGGAAAGAAAGGAGGGACAAAACAGAAGGACATCAAGGATAAATGGACCTGGAAAGTGGAACAACTGGATCCTAAAACGGGGACACATAGTGTGATAACAAAGATATGAGAGATGAAATAAATATATAATTAAATAATAAATAAACCTACAACTCTGATTGTTATTTAAAGAGACTCGGACAAAGCTAAGGCACACTTTGGACCCATAAAACTCGTGTGTCCATGTGTTCGGGAATCCCCACAAATCATTACAGTCCTTTTGGAGTTTGAAGCCATTTGAGTTTGGAACAGTGTCACCGTGTCTCTTTTTTCTGACCTTTAACCCTGCAAGACAAATCCTCGCATACGTGGGCTGTGCTGACGTTGCTCAAACACACTCCCAATAAGTAAAAAAGGAACACCAGACTGAAGCAATGAGAAGAGGAATCACTTATTGCAAGGGCTAAACAGAAAGAATGGACGAATGGAGGAAGTAGATAAAAAGGGAAAAGGTTAAAATAAGTGATTTTTTCGCAACTAAATTCAGCAGACAGTTTCACAAGCCACGCAGCTGAATCTCCAGCTGTAGATTCCTGTTAAAGAATAAATAAAGTGCAGTAAAAACGCTTCATCTTCAAGTCTAAAAAGGACTAACGGCTCACAGGACACACTTTATCTCAGTTTAACTACTGCTGTTAGAGCAGATTTCGAGCACCTGTGACCTGACAAGTGTCTCCGCAGGTTAATGAGGCTTGCAGGTTTTGCGGCCATCTTGGCACCGCTGCTGTTTAAACAAGCAGCTCACACGGGCAGCGTCCTTCATCTGACAGTGACGTGAGCGAAACCTCCATTAGCGAGATTAATGTGCTGTATCTGCCTTAATGAACCCGCACTAAGAGACACGTTCGCTCTGAGTGGACCTCTTCATCTCATGTTGTTATGCAACTTGGTAAAGGAACAATTCACCAACATTATGACCATTTTATATATCTTGTACTCACCCAGTGTTACTTTGAATTTGTAAAAGAAAGCTTGTTTTTTCCACATGCCTCCACGGTGAACGAAGAATCCAAAAACAGAGAAAATTCTTGATGAATTGAAGTAAAAGGTCATGTTTTCAGCCCAAGCTTTTCATTGATGACTCTGGTGATATTAGCCATAATCTCAGAGACAGCTGCTTGAAGTGCCGGTGCAAATGTGTTAGCTTCTGTGTTATCTTCAGCTCCTGCATTAGCTTCTTTGCTAGCTTGATGCTAAGCTCCTCCGCTTTATTCGAATTTGGCTTTCCTCAATGCGACATGTTGTCAGGCTGCCTCAGAAAGTTGTTATTAATACTCATCAAGGAAATAGTCTGTTTGTAGGTTACAATGTAGAAAGATGATGTAATGGCTCACCAGCTCAACTGAACTGACCTCTCTTAAAGCCGCCATCTTAACAACCATCCAAAACATCTGTTTAAAAACTCTCACACAACTCTTGCAGCCTCATTTATCCAGTCATATGCTAAGTACTTCTCAAACACATACATTTTGGCTATAAACTTCCACACGAGTAGCACACTTGGACATGCGAGTGCGTTTGAACTCTGTTTGTGCATTCCATTGAGCATAGTTCAAACATGAGCACACATTAAACATGGCTTAATAGAGACAATTACACAAATACACAAGTACACAAATCAGCTTCACTATAACTCGCAGCATTCACAGACAAACACTTGTCTTTATCTGGACACATTTTCCCCACAAATACAACATGCTAATGTTATTAGCACAAGCCTATGGCATTTTACATTGTATAAATTAGCCTAGCAGCTAGCAGAATTTTCCTCCACTCATATGAAGCCAGGGACACGGCAACATTTAACAAAGGTAACATTCCAAAATTTGGCTCCATTACAACTCACAAGGTTCACTGACAAAACAACTGTCTTATACTAACACGTTTTCCAAACAAATACAACATGCTAACATTATCAGCACAAGCTTGTGGCATTTTATCTTGTATAAATTAGCCTAGCGACTTTTCCTTTACTCATATGAAGCCAGGATAAATCACACACAAGACATAAAATGCTATTTTTGTGGAGGCTTACTTGCCTTCACCATTTATTGTTTCTTATCTGTGAAATGAAAGTAAATTGACATCGTGATACAATCATTGTTCTGCTCCGAAACTACCTGGTTAGGTTTAGGTTTTGGCAATTAAGTACTTTTGTCACTAACATTACATGACATATGTCAGGCAACATACGACACATCACATACGTCACTACCGTAGCATGCTACAAATACTAGCATACTAGGTTAGGTTGTTATTGAAAGAAGTCAGTGTTGACTTTGTGACGCTAACACTTGTCTCCTGGGTGAAAGTCCTGTTTTTGTTTGATGCACCCACCCTATAAGGATTTCTTTGATATTGTGTAACACTTTGTGGCTTTTTGCGCTGCATCATGTCACTTTCTACTTTGCTCTTGTAATAATTACTACAGCCACAAGAGGGTGCCGCCTTACAATACATGCAAGTGTGGGTCGTAATAAGGTGCTTGCACATTAGACCATTGTGGTTGTTTTTCGCTGAGAGCGGGCTGAGTTTTGCTGGCGTTGAACGCAACCCCCCTTTTATTCCAGTTTTTGGATTCTTCGTTCACCGTGGAGACATGTGATAAAATCTTCTCAAATTCAACATAACATGGGATTAATTGATAAAGTAATGATCATTTTGTTGGTGAAGTATTCCTTTAAGTCAACAAAAAGCCCTGTGGTGTCAGTCTTGTCACCATTTTAACATTTTATAATACTGTTATACCATGAACTTTGCATCTTGTATGGGTTGGGTTGAGAATATTTTAAGTGTATAATGTAATCCAAAAGATAGACGCAGCTAATAACAAACATGGAGAGGACAGAGTGAGCAGAAGAGGACTGAACATGCTGTGGAAAAAAAAATGAATGTGTGAGCGTGGAAAAACAGAGAGGACTGCAATTTATTACGTGCTACTTTAAAAAGAAAAGTAGTAGATCAGAAAAGAAGGTATATTTTATTACTGTTTTTCATTTCCTGTTTTCTATGTTTTATACATGAGTATCATTGTGTATTCTTTTGATAAACTAGTCTTTGACAATGAGGCTTTGTTCTGTTCTTGAGTCTGCTGCTGTTGTTTTGGAAAAGTCTGATTCCAGCCAACGTTTTTCACCAACTTGACAACTACAGACAAGTCTTTGTCGTTTCAGAAGATGTTTGGGGAAATGACACTGCAGTTGCTAAATGGGGAAGTAATGCAGTAAAAGAATCTGAATTACAGTAGAGCCATTCACAACAACAATGCCAAAATGAGTAAGTGAAAATAACAAGTGGATGCCACTTAAAGGTCCAGTGTGTAGGATTTAGGGGCATCTTCTGGCAGAAATGATATATAAAAATATATATAAATCCTACACACTGGAACTTTGAGCGGAGACAGTAGAGGTAAATGGGGTCAAACTTTTCACTAGAATATTTCATTACAAGGCTTCCCCAGTTGATTACTTTCTTCTTTTTTTGTACTACAAGTTTTCTGAAACTGTATCTGAGCAAATTGGCTTTGTTTCTTGTAAAAACATGGCAATGAACAACGAAAGACGAAATGACCCAAAAAATTTGAAAAAGAAATTAGTAAAAAGAGAAAATTGAATACAAGAAACTTAGTAAAAAGAAGTGAAAAATAAAGACCTGAAATGAGCACTGTAAAAAAAAAAAAAATTTGTAACAATTTTAAAATGTAAATTTAAAATGTAAAAATTATAATTATGAAAATATTTTCCCCTAGCTTTTTTCTTTTCTTCCATTTTTTTTTTAAAAATTAATTTTTCATTTTTTTTTGCACTTCATGGGACATTTCTCACCAAATTGCTCAGTGCCTTTTTTCCCATGTTTTTGAAAGAAACCGCACCAATTAGCTCAAGTTTCAAAGTTTACCTGCAAAAGGCACCTGAAAGCAACACAACAAAAGTGATGTTGCTCCAGGTTTCAAAGGGTTAAATATGGAAATGGGGCATTATCAAAGTAAATGTGCCCTTCTTTGTATACATTTACAGAACAGAAATCTGAACAGAATTCTTGTTTCACTTTGTATTTATATCAGGGTCAAGGTTTTTTTATGGAGGGAATTTCTGGATTTCTTTTCTTTTCTTTTCTTTTCACTCCATTAATCCAAAAATAATGTCAACAGCCATTAAAAAAATCCCTTTTCACCATGATTTTAAGAATAAAATGTTACAGAAATCAGGCTAATAGTGACACAAATTAAGAAATTGAATAGTAAGTCATGTTATACTGAAGTACTGGCTAAATGTTGTTTTTTTAATTTCAGTTATTCTAGTTTTTAGCACAAAAAATGTTCAGTTTCCATGGAATGAAATCTCTTGTCTGCAGATGAAGTGACAATGACAGAATTGGCTTTTACAATCAAAGCCCAGCGGAGTTTGCTAAATGGCTTCAAAATGCCATCATCTCACTACATAAAATTACAAAATTTTGCAAAAAAATATGTGACACTGCACCAAAAATCTGCATTATTAAGCTAAAACTCTCTGTTCCAATCATCAAAAATGTTTTGTCTTTTGTTAGTGTGGCACGGGCTCTGAATTAACTCATCGCCTAACACAAACTCTATTGAACTATCTGCAGAAAACTACAATAGATGTTTGAAATTATATGATATTTTAGGTGGCAAAAATTCATTCATCCTGGAAGAATATGAATAATTTGTCCAGTCGTCTAAATGTTATCACATAAGCACAATTTTCCGTATGCAAACAAATAATGCAAAAAGAATGGTAAGTTGTTCAAACCTTTTACAGATTCTTAGTTGAAGATTAAAGGTACACTATGCAGGATTGTCGGCTAAAAGGGAAAGTACAAGCCAACCCCGGATTCACTTTTGTTTGTCATTTCACCTCGCTATACTTTTTTTTCAGCGCTGTGTCTCTTGGATGCCTGCTGCTTATGGTCTGGCACCTGGTCGCTACCTTTATATAAAGCTCTTGAACTAATGACTAAGTAGAGATCTGGACCCCGTGGCTGTACCACTGATTTAGAGGAATTACTCCTGTATGATTCTTAAAATCGTTTTTTAGGAAAATCCCACATAGTATATCTTTAACATTTAGGGTGGCTGTGTCTCAGAAGGTAAAGCAGGACTTGGACTAATTAAAGACTGACGGTTTGATCCTCGGCTCCTCCAGTCCACGTGTTGAAGTATCCCAAATTGCTCCTGATGGCTGTGCTAATGTGTGCGTGTGAATGTTTAAGCTGCGTAGCCGGTGGCACCTTGTTTGGCAGCCAATGGGTGAATGTGACGTGTGGTCAGAAGACTAGGACGGCGCTGTACAAGTGTAGTCCATTTACCAATTAGCATTTCTATTTCGAGACAATGAGAGTCATGTGCCTCAGGTGCAGAATTAAAGATACACTTAATGTTCATCTCTAGATCTACACTGAAATCCTTTGGCAGACAATCCTCAAACCCATTACTCATGATTAATGAGTGTGAGTGAAAAATCTCCTCTGCATCCATTAATCAATATTACAGTCCTGATATGAGCAGAAATCCTACATTACACTGAGTATATGTATGTAATATTTTAGCACATAAAAAAGTAAGTGTTTGTAAAGTTGTTTGCAGTTTTCCTAAGGATGTGATTTATCATGGTCATTTCTGCTTTCTTGCTTTCATTCTCTTTGATTCCATCCTTATCTTCTCACGCCTTCTCGAGACCTTTGTTCCCATCAGATGGACCAACAGCTTGTCCCCTCCTCAACTCCTCGTCTGCTCCGTGCATGCCAGGCTGCGTTTGACTCTCTATGCTGTGACTCTTTTTGGTATGGCACGAGCTGTGTGACTTCACCTCTTCTCTGTGAGTCTATAAAATGCACCAGCAGCTTTGCTAAACTATCTTAAACAACTGTAAGCACTGGATGTCAAGTGCACAGTCATAGCCCAGCAGGTCTGTACAGTGACCTAATAACTAATAATCCCATTAGTTTTAGCCGCTCAGGTCTAATTGGATTAGGTCACTGATCAGAGCAGCATGTCCAACCAGTAGTACTGTCTCTCTGTCTGTGTAATCCTCCCCACCTGGTGGAGGATTGTTTGTGTTCTTTCTCATCACAGACAAAACTGCTGCTGATTATTCCTACACACACTACAGCATCACTATTAATTCTACATTGATGGTTTAGGCATGTGTCGTGTCAAGTGTGTGTACATGTGCATGTGTGTGTTTGCTGAGGATCAGACCAGGGAAAGTGGCTCTAATCCTTCTTTAAGTCAGGTTATCTTTCTCTCATAAGGCCTTTTCTTGCTCTGAGCTTATGTTTGTTTTCTTGTCTTTGTAAGTCTGTTCTTGTTTAGTATGAATGTGGCGCTGTTGTGGCTGCATGGTTGGCTCTGACATCAGGGAGTTTTACTGACTTTACCATCAGTCTTTCTGCAGCTTTTGTGCCTTAAATCAGTCTTGTACATTTGACAGCGTTCACTGAGACAAACAAATTCAGTTAAAGCAACACCATTACTTCAGAAAACTTTTTTTGTGGTAGCAAGATCCCTTTATCAGTTCTTGCATTTTTACGCCTCCAGCGACAGCCATGCATTATGATTTCACGTTGTCCATCTGTCTCATTCTCATGAAAGCAATATCTCAAGAACGCCAT